TATTGAGCGCGGAGCCAGCCACCCATCAACTCGCATTTCTCAGAAACTATTGAATGTTTCATTTTCAAATTTTTGTAAAATATTTATAAAACTATATACTCAATTTTACAATGTGTAGTAACAATGTATGTCAAGTTTTATCAAAATCGAATTATGTATTTTTGAAAACGTACAATCTCTTTCCATACTAGTATTGAGAGCGGAGCCAGCCACCCATCAATCTCCAATATCTCAGAAACTATTGAATGATCCAACTTTAAATGTTTGTCAAATATTTAGTAAAGTGTAGTAATAATGTACGTCAAGTTTCATCAAAATCGAATTATGTATTTTTGAAAACGTACAATCTCTTTCAATACTAGTATTGAGAGCGGAGCCAGCCACCCATCGACCTCGCATATCTCAAAAACTATTAAATGATCCAACTTTAAATTTTTATCAAATATTTAGTAAAATGTAGTAACAATGTGTGTCAAGTTTTATCAAAATCGTAAATCGTATTTTTGAGAACATACCATCTGTTTGAATTTAGAATAATCGATTTATTTTATAACGTGTTCTATAGTGAAACACATATGATGTTTAAGTGCTTTAAAATGATTTATTACAGCATCATAATAGTGAAATATAGAGCCATTAACAAGCTATATCGATTGAGTAAAATAATGCTACTTATATTACATCATATACATACAACATACACACAATATTGTTTAATATTATAATCTGCAATTAACACTTTGCAATAGCTTAGAATAATTATGAGATTATTAACAAATTTAGAAGCTATTGCATTCGGGAGAGAAAAATCTAATTGAAATAAAAAAAGATACTCCGAGATAGAAAAGTAAATTGAGTTAAAAAAGCAATGTTATAAAAAATAAATTAAATAAATAATTATTCCTACTTTGCTGATGAATATTCATGACAAATTACTAGATCAAGGTTATTTACAGTGTTACCTCTGTAAAAAAATGCACTCATGCAATTTATATTCTGCATCGGTCCAACAATGTAGCTATTATTTTTTAATAACCCTTTAAAATTAAAATAAAACCCTGGACCTATTTGCCCCCTGACCATCTTAATTAACCCCAGCTATGGGGTAAAACAGACCAGATTACAAATTGTTGGAATCCAGCAAAATCAACACATTTTTGCAATGATGAATTAGCTGAGAGTTTCACTGAACATAGTCAGATAGTTGTTTGTTTGATATGTGTCGTAATATAAATGGTTTGGTTTGTGCCTCGCCCTACTATATATATATTTATATATATACAATTAAATTTTCATTATCATTTACCTTGTTGATCAATTGAGCAACCCCTATGACGTTTTTCTGTCCATTATAAATCGGCATGCACAGAATGTTCCGTGCCAGATCCGGCTGTCCGTTCGCCTGGTCAACCTTTAACCAGGCCGATACGTCGCTGATGTTCAGTATTTGACCGCTGGTGGCAACATAGTGGGCAATTTGGGCCAAAGTTGACTGCTTCAATTCGTCGATTGTTGGCCGAGATACTTCAGCTGAATCGTTGGATGCACCAAGCTCGAAAATCATTGTGAAATGACTTCGAGATTCCTAGGAAATAAAAATTGTAGTTTGTGATTGATACGAAGTAGTTGTCTGAATGTGTTAGTAAATGAAAATGATAGAAATATCAAATTATTTTCTAAATTTTTACTCTTGCTAATGTGTTTGATTCAATCTAATTTGTCTATCACAAACCCAGATTAAGAAAAACATGAAGTTTTGGTTACATTACTACTAGTTGGATTTGTGTTATTTCTATATAAAAATTTATAAAAATATCATAACATAGTATTGACATAAAAAGGAACTAAAGTTAATACTGGGATAAGCCATTGTACTAATTTTTTTATTTTAGTTAATATCTATGCTAAAATCAAAAAGTGAGTTAGTTAAAATTAGACACATCACTAAATATAAACATAAAGGGTATGGGCGTTTGGGGTTTTCCATACAGAATCGGCCCCACTTTGGTATTTAAATGATTTTGATGCCATTTCATCGGTTCTTTCGAAAAAATACAATATACCAATTTTCAACTCCTTATCTCATCATTTGGCCGAGATATCAGTGAAAACACGTGAAAGTGGCCCCTTTTTTCAAACTCACTTTTTGTTGGAAATATAAAAGATATCGAAAAAATGTTAACGTCATTTTATTCACACTGATCTTGTCTATGTTATTCATAATAAATAATGTAAAAAAATATTTATTAGAATTATTATATTAAATACTGATATAAAATAAAATCTCAAATACAAATACGATTACATCAAATACGTGATCTCATTTTAATAAAATATCGTATGGGTGTATCGCATTTAAAATATATTATGAGCAAAATCACTTATGAAAAATATATAAGGATGAACATGATATTTCGATTTATAAAATTTTATGTGTTTAAAAAAATAATCGTAACGTAAATTTCAAGTCACATTCTTAATTTTTTGATATCTTACCAAAGAGTTATGACTTTTTTGTGAGATGACCACTAAATCTTAATTCTATAACGTTACAAGGTAATCAATAATGAATATTTATTGACTTTAGCTAATCTTTTCAATGTAAAATAACATTAACATTACAAAAAAAATGTTTTTGAATCTACTTGCATATATAGTTCGTTTTTATGTTAGTGCTCCTAATTTTTTGGATGTAAAATAAAAATTCTAGAGTAAATCACACGCATATCCAACTCCATAAATATAAACGACAAATTAAAAATGTGTTGTTTGTAGTATTATTGTTCATTTATTGATAATATTGAAAAAATAAAATCAAAAATAATATTAAAAAAATAATAATAATTTTATTAGAAATTGTACACAATTGCACCATATAAAAACTATAACTAACTATAACTTGATCATGGTTTATTGAAATTGTGCATGGCATAATTATTGTTTTAATGTATTTTAATTTTGAAATTTTTAATTAAAGTAAAAAAATATAGAAATTTTTCTCTATTATGAAATGAATAAATTTCAGCAATAAATAGAAACTAATATATCAATCTAGTTAAATGACTTTACTGCGCACTATACCACAATAAATTTGATACTAATAAACTATATCAAAATATCGATAATAATCAAATTAATAAAGTTATGGAGCTCTCATAGTTCGAAGAAGCTGCCATCAGAAAATTTACTACATCAATAAAGTTTATGTAATTGAATTTTTATGGTTAATGAATATCCGCCTGCCACAAGAAGATATCCGCCGGCGGCCTTAATACGTCTTCAGCAAAAATAATTTAGTTTTGATTCAATAAACGTAAGTTGAAATTGGAATTCTGAAACTACACCGAGAATTTATGTTAAAATTGCATTATGAAATGCATTAAATTGTGCACTTTGAAAATTAACTGCACAAGACGCTTTATAGTAACAAAAATGAATCTAATGTAAGAGCACTTTATTTTTAAAAAATTAGCCTGAATAATTTTAAAATTCTAGATATATAATCAATCGAGGAGTTCAAACTTATTCAACAAAATTAATCCAAAAAAAACTCATTAGTATGATAGAAAATGGGTTTTCCAGCAACTTTTCATACTCTACAAAATTCTAAACTGTAGCTGGTATATTTTATTAATTTTATAAGCATTACTATGGCAGATTTGCTGATATGTTTATTCGGTTCACCAAGCTGGTAAATGTATAAAAAATGAGTTTATAAAAAAAATCTGATAAAAAATCACAAATTTAAAAAGGGTGCAATAATCAATCAAATTTTTCACTAGAGGTAAAATTTTAGACCCAATTTTAAATTCCATCGTATTAAATTCTAGATTACAAATATTTTATATAAGAGAGGATACTAACAAGTAAGTACAGGAATGAACATATAAAACGCGTTTTCAGAATTTTCAAATATTAATTTTATAGAAGTTAATCTAAAAAGTGAAATGTATCGCACTACCTGTTAGTATCTATATGAATATTAACTGCAATACAGAAATCCTAAGTATTCAATATAAATCTACTAATTACCTATATACTTTCCTAGCTTGAGAAATTCTCTACATTCTAATTTATTAGTGCTGTTTATAAGCTGCATAGAAATGCTATAGTATAAATAAATTTATAAGCTGCATAGAAATGCTATAGTATAAATTATTTCAGTAGTTCTGAATAATTTGAACAATAACTTTATAAGCAATTCAAATAACTATGTGGCATGAAACCCATAATGCACTTGATATAATCAACACTTACACTGCTGAACAAGAAACTTCTCAAAGGATCGTTCAAAATCTAAAATTTAATGCAAAAGTTAGTTCTATGCAATTTGTAATCAACTTTGAAATAAAGTTGCAGCCGTTGCCACATTTCGATGAAAAGCATTTATTTGAGGAAAATCTGAATTGTAAATTATGTGCTAATTAGTATGGGATAATTTTGCTAACTTATTATGAAGTATAGAATACATTCTTAATATTTACGTGCAAAAAATTAAAAATTATATTATGGTATGAGAACAGAATTAAAGTTCAAATATATACTTCGACAACTTATATTGCAATATAAGTTTCACATTGCAATATAGGACTAGCAGCTTATGTAAGAATGTCTCGTTTTCAAATTAAATATTTATAGTATTGAATTATAAAATAAACTAAATACTCTAAATAAAAATCTGTATTAAATATTAAATTCTGTAAATTTAATGCAAATAATATGTTTTTTTTTTAAATCCACTTGTAACATTATTATTTTTATTTTATTTACCAAATAATCATGACTGGAATATCTGAAAAATTGTGGACACTCTTACGATATTTGTTATTGGAAATTGTATCTGCAAATCACGTTTGGCCTTTTATATAACAGAAACAATTTTTTTAATATTTTTTATATTCTTTGCTAATGCCTCAAAAGCTGCTAATGAGTCAGTTTAGTAGTCATATTAACCGTAGCAAGAACTGAACTTGATTTTTTCTAATAATTCTAGTATTTTTTTCTAATTTACCTTAGATAATTAAAGAATATACAATTGGATAACGAATAGCAAAATGCAATTCATGGAGAAGATATGTCATATTTCTTAAAAAAATAATAATTTACCTGTTGTTCTAAGATATCATCCACATTGACATTATGGCTTTGTCTTCTACCAAGAGCTTGATGTTGCTGTATCGTGTTTCCAGGACGTTCCACTATTCTTTCCAAATGACTCTGAAACATAATATTTTTATTCAGAAAGCATTTCAAGTTAAAACATTGTAATTTTATTCGAAATTTAGTATATCATAATATGAACTACTTTGGTTTCAAGAATTTTTTTGCAAGAAATGGAAGCAATCATGAGTAGATTATTAATATCAAAAAACATCATAAGGAAAACTATAGAAAGAAGGTTTCGGTAGATCAAGGAAAATGCTGACTAAGTTTGCAGAACAGAGAAAACTCAAACTTGCAAGCAATAAAAAAATAAAATGTTAAAATCGATAAAGATTCAAATGTGTATGTAAAACAAATTTTTTGAGTATTGCAGGAATTATATATAATTCGCTTTATCGAGTTCTCTACACCTTTTAGTTTTTATGTCATGAAATATGAAAATGTACTCATAATTTTATTACAACAAATTTTATTAAATCGCAACGCAAAAGTGCCAACTCATGTCATAACGAAATAACATAAAATTTAATTAAGTTAATTACATTGGTAAAGCACTGTCACGTAAATGAACAATCCAAGGGAAAATATGAAAGCTAATGCCTAATATTATTCATTCATATAAATAATTAAACTTCTCATTTATTTCATTTTAATTAAACGTAGACAGCCTTTATGTCCAAATGAACACAAAGAGTAATATTCCACCCATTCATATATGAAATTATAATAGTAGATATTCAACTCTAAAATAGATTTACATTTGTAATGATGTAGACATTTCGTATTGATTTAATATTCGTAAATTTTATGCTTGACGGAATTATTCTGAAACGGTTTCAAGTCAATTTCATATATTGATTGAGCAGACATTTTTCTTCTTTTGATGTCTACGAGTTAAGATTAGATTACGCTGCTAGAATAAATTAAATATAAGAATATGATAAAGAAAACTCGAATTCAACTATCACGACGAAGATAAAAAATAATAGATAATAATAATTGCATTAAAATTAACAATAATTATTTAAACACACATATTGTTTAACTAATAAATTACAAATCTTTCCGAGATAGAGGTTGATGCATTCTCCAGTTATCCAGATTTTCAATTTTTTGTTTGAACGACAGTGTGAGTCATTTAGAAAAGTTGGACACTAAAAAGTGCACATGTATGCAGAAGTGTGTAAGTGAAACTAGAATTCATTTTTTGTAAACTTTAATCAAAAACAGTTGCACCAATTTCAAAAGTTTAAAAGCCAACTTCGTATAATTAGATAAGGATCCACTTTGATAAAATATTCTAGCAGTACACCAAAGTATTTTTAAATTCCCGTAGTGTAAGTCATAGTAATCGCAAAAAAATCAAAAATAGAAATTTTTATATATCATTACGTTTCAGAGGTTTCTGTACATTTGGCATACCTTAGAAAAATTGGATGTATTGCTCTGATATTTCGACTCAAAATCAGTTTGCAGTGCGTTTGCTTAAAAAAAGTTCAAAATTTTCAAAAAACTATTTTCAAAGTTCTGCTAAGTTTTTTTTTTAAGTTTTGCTAAGTTTTTGGTATGGAAAGTTTCAGCAATTTGGCACGATGCCATGCACCACTAGTTTGTATTTTGATTAAATCGAATCAATAATGCTGATAAGTACTATTAGAAATTGTACATTCTACATATTGATTTTTCATACACATGTATAAAATTTATATTACAATATACATTCTATCTATTTTCCTAAGACGCAAGAATCCCATTATCTACGAAGGCTTTAAAATGCACTGTACATTCATTCATATTTCCTTGTTATTCCTTTTCAGTGAACTCTGCAAGTATCTCTCGATTCTCGTTATGAAACAATACTTTTATTATATTTATTTTCATGAAGCGGTATACAACATCGTCATTCTTAGTAAATATTATTATTTGTTTTTCGCGCTGCAAATTGTTCACGTTCACATACGTAAAGTAGGAAAGTAGAGAATTTCTCTATAGAGGTAAATTTATTAAAACTTTTCTCTACCAGTTTAAAATATGATGTATTGTGTGTAATTTTTTCATTTTGGATTTTGTTTGAACTTGCTTCGTGATGTATGGGGGTCTATATAGAGTCTATAGAAAGTGCATTATGTGTGCGCGGATAATATGCGAACAAAGTTTGATGTAACTTTATTTTATGATTATGGAAAGTTGATGTAATAAAAAATATATTTTATATGTAAATGAATTTAAGCATTTTAAAGAGTATATTTTGGTTAATAATATTGATATTGGAACAGGTATTTATTAGAATTTGGTCATAGTCGTTGGTCAATGTCCTTGTTAAAATTCGATTTTCCATGATTATTTTTAGTAAAAACAACTATTTAAATATCACTTTTTCAAAAATTATTTAACAAATGAAAATTTACACAAAAGCCACGAATTGCATGTAATCTAAGCCAGATTAACTACAATACCGCTTTCCAATTGAATTCCGTAATATTTTATTTTTCATATTAAACGCCATTTTCTTTTAGATATAAAAATTATGTAGCAAATATATAATGCAGATCCATAAAATTATGTATTTTTCATTTATTCATAGGCAAGAAATCTTAGGCTTGAGGCTCTGGTCAGGCTTATTCATAAATAGTAATGACAAATCTCTGAGTACGAAAGAAAAATCATCGACTGAAATGGTATTTTGCAAGGAAAGTTATAAAACCTTCTCTAAATTTACAAATAATCGACTAACAATTGAGATTTAGCAATTTTTGAATTTGTCACAAGGAAACAATTCGCCCAATTTTAGCCGAGAACTTATCAGCAAGATTTCCAACTGATTGATTGATAAAAAATTTTTAAAAATCGACAAAAACTTAAACAACTTCTCGATATTTACAAATAATCGACTCATTTTCTTCTAGACTTGGAAATTATATGTCGATGCCATGTAAATCTCTCTATCTCTAATAAACAACCATAAAATTGTTTAAATTTTTATTTATAAGCCAGAACGCTTAGGCCTAAGACTCCTGTCAGGCTTTTTTATAATTAGTAATTTCAAATTTGTGGGTATGAATGAAAAATCAATGACAACTAAGTGTAAATGGCATTTTCCATTAAAAAAAGTTACAACTCCTTTTCTATATTTATAAATAATCGACTATATCAATTGAGAATTACCAATTTTGAATTTGTCACAAGAAAACAATCCGCCCGATTTTAGCCGAAAACTAATCAACGAGAATTCCTTCTAATATCGTTCAAAAAAAATATATTTCTTTTAAAAAAATCGTTTAGATACTTTGGATTAATTTTCTCTTGAAAAATCGGTTAGATAAATTTTGCAAAAATTTAAATGAAAAATTTTGCTTTTATCTGTTAATTAAAAAAAATGATACTTGAGTCTATATACGGTTTTAGCAATTGTTTTTTTAAATTTCTAAAATTGGAGCAGAAGATGAAAGATCAAATTTTGTCAAATACACATACTTCTTCCAATATTCGCATCAAACGATTCAGAATCACTTGTAACATCAAGGAAACAAAATTAGCATATACAATTCTCTGGCGAAAACATCTTGCTCCTTCGGAAAGCATTAAATGAACAACCCGAATTTGTTCAGGTTTACGTGAATGCTCGTAAAAGATTATTATTAAGATTATCATAAGGTCTAATTTTATAATAATATAAAAATCAACGAATATGCAGTATAAAATTTTGGTATTAAAAATTAATAAAACTGATCTTTTATCCTACCGCTTCGCAGCAATCCAGATCCAGAAGGAAAACCGCGCATCTTTCGCACTTTAGAAGTTGCCTTGCCTCTGTCATGATTTTCGTAACGAGACATTCAAGATTGTTCTGCTCTGCAAAAATGCTCCTGGCCAGATTTAACAGGATTTGATTCCTCTGATATTCCAATACAGACATTTCGAACAGTTGAGCATTTTGTATTCCGATGCCGCAGAACGTCAAGTACCTTCTGAATACGTCGACATCTCTGTCGGTGAACTCTTCAGATCCTGAAAGTGGAATTGGATCATTAGTAGAATGTTTAGTGATTTGATTATGTTTATTTTTATAAATCAACATTTATATAAAGGATACTTATGATATAAAAGAATCGTTTTAATTACTTTATTATTGAATACCCAGACAAATTAAATAATATAAATATTAGTACTGGATATACATCAAGAGATTGATGGAAATCGAAATTTTAAATTCAATAGTTATGTCTTCAAATATTTTTAAATCACAATAATAAAGCTAGTTAATTTTTTTCTGTAAGTTGAATGGCACTTTATTATTTTTGACCGACAAAAACATTTTACGTTGAAATTCAAAGCAAAAAAAGAGAAAAAATATGATAGTAACTAGGGAATGCAATACCGGTATACCGATATACCGAATTACCGGTAAACCGCCCGATTTTTCGGCAGTATTTTTACCGGTATTTATTCCAAAAATACCGGTATTTTCGGTATTTTTACATAAGCGCTATTTGATACATAATACTCTAAAGTTTAAATTTCTAGGAACAAATTTATCTTTAAATTTCATAATCGCATAAACAGCTATATCTTCAAGTAATTCTAAAAGATAAACAAATGTCAAATATTATCTTAACTCGTCATTAAACTGAATATTTATTGCTTTCCAAAGGGTTTCATTTCGTGTTACAATAAATAGAATCGGACTAATAGATAATGATGTTTATTTTATCTTTTGTAAAAATGTAACGGTTTTTTAAGTGATATTTGCGCCAAAATATTTTATATCATACAGATTACCCCTGCGTAATCTTTATTTTTTTGCTAACTTTATACAATAATTATGATAATTACTAATTATTTCTGCTTCTTATTAGATATTAGGACTAGGTATTGCAGTGGTGAACAAATTAAAAAAAAATGCAAGTCGATCCGACTTGTAGTTTTTTTTTAATTTGTGGCACCGCATTGATAAAAGTCAATTTGAGAAAAACGTATTTAAAGTTTTTAATATAATGTACTAAATACATCATTTAATTTAATGTACGAAATACACCTTGGTGTTCAAAGATGCTGACACATTAAAAAGGTCATGTGCATGAGGTATTATAATGAAAAAGATGCAGCTGGCATACAATAGCTCGCGGAACGATAAAAAAACGCTTTAAGAGGATCATACGTATAGAGGTAGATATATCTATAACTTCTTCAAAAAAATAGATATTGAGAAGATTTTTTTTTTAAATAATTCTAAAGTTTTTAGCTTTCATAATATCAAAAAATCTCAAAACCGAAACAAAAAGATATAAAAAAGAACAACCCCCTTAAATCAATATTAGATTAAATATATTTTAAAATATTTTGCTGATATCATATCTGAAAAAATACTGAAAATGAGCATACATTCAGCATATGTTATTATTTCGGATAAAAATACCTAAATAATATAAATTATTAAAAATATACAAGATTATATGGCAAGTAACAACTCAATTAGTAATTAATATATATCAATTACAAACTTGAATTGATACGGTAATTAAGAATTGATTGAAAACATTATTTCATTTCTTTTATAATAGAAGCAACCGAATTTTCTTCCAAACTTTGCTCTATACTACCATTGTTTTATATTACCCTTAGAAATTTATATCATCCATAATATTTCATGGGTTTGAAAGAAGCTGGAGAAAATTAGTTGTTAAAATGAAATAAGACACTCAATCAATCTTATGAATTGAAATTGGATACGAAAAAGATAAATTTCTCAAAATGTCACTCGACTGAATGGATCCTTTTTCCGTTTGTCTTTTAATAAAAACTCATCCACTTGCTTCGTCAGTCAATTTCGAATGATTGTTAAATCAAGTCTACCGTTCTTTATAATAATCATACCTCGTGGATTAAATTATAACGAGAAAAATGCCCGGCTTTTCAAAAAAATGTGAACAAATAATATTTTCACAACAAAGAAATGTTATTACAACAAATCGATTCTGTAGAAATGCCAGAGGGAAATATTGCAATGCCGGTTAATTGGATTTCAAAGAGAAGTACGTACAGATTCGTTTCTGTGTGAATGGTAGCGGAATTCTTTATTGAAAAATATTTTCTCGTGACATTCCTGTTTGATTTTGAAATTAAAAGTTTATTTCAGGTGCCTATGCTTTCAACTTTATGAGTGAGAAAATGAAAACTTATTTTCCGGCTCACGGTAATAAATTCTTGAAAATGTATCGTCATATTTTCAATTACCTACTTTATTCAGTAATTTCAATTATTACTGGTTTTCCAGGAGACGGGACATATTTTGTAGCATAATTTAAATTAATTTTAAATGAAATATGAAGCCCGGTAATTTGGAGTGAGTACAATCATATGAGCTTAATAATAACTTGCTGAATTTCTTTTATATTAAAAATATTTAAAAAATTTCAAACAAAAAATATCGGAGTACTTTACACATTTTTTTTTCAAAACAAATTTGCATGAGATAATGTTAGTTGTTTTATAATTAATAAATTATAGAGTTTGTCTTTGATTACGACATCCCTAACTACATAGTTAGTTTAACAAATTCTTATTTTTTTGTGGAAATTTATCAGAATGTTGCATGTCCAAATCACGTTGGGGTCATCAATGTGGAAAATTATTTGTTAATAAACTTTGTAGAAGTAACTATCAAAATTAAGTAAAACTAGTGGGGTGTATAGCATCGTCAATCATCAGGCAAATTGCTGGAACTTCCCGTAAAATAGATTATTATAAATATTGTAACATTGTCTAATAAATAAAAAAATTATAAAATCTGAATTATTTCGATATACAAAAAAAAATTGAACAAAATTTTTTTTCAAAATCAATTATTTTGTTAAGACAAGCAGAAAGTTTTTGGAATCATGTAAATCGGACGCTTAGTTCTCTCAAAAACTGCCATTTCTTACATATTTAGCTCCGTATCTTTGAAATGGCTGGGCCTAATAAACACTTCTCCCAATCATTACTAATTGAATGTTTTTTGAACCATTCAAATCGGATACTCCGTTCTCTCAGAAACTCGATTTTTATTTTCTGCACGCTTAGCTCCGTATCTCCGTAACGGCTGGACCTGCCTTTGCCAAAAACTAATCAGCTCTTTTCCCTATCAATAGGAATCGAATGTTTTTTGAACCATTCAAATCGGTTGATCCGTGCGCCCTAAAACGTGACTGGAAATTTGTATCCATACATACACACACACACATCCATTTTTTCTAAGGTATGCCAAAACGTTCAGAAACCTTCAAAACGTCGAGAAATGTAAAAATTTTCAATTCCGATTTTCGGCCCATTACAATAACTTATCCTACGGGAAGTTAATAAATTAATAATATTTGCAAAACAGTTTTTCTAAATTTTGTGTGTGAAATTTAGAATAAGTTCGTAAATTTTTAAGTATTTAATTAATGTCATAAGTAGTAAATATAAGGAATTTTTACTGTAAGTTATACTATATTCAACAAAATATCTTAAATCTCCAAAAATATGCTAGCCCAGCGATAGTTTTCCTGACATATATGGGGCTGTAGAAGCCATGAAATGGTTAAATAATCGATATTCGTTAGAGTAATAAAATTGAGTGTATAGTTTACGACGAGAGCCAGTAGTATTTAGTAATCTGTGTGGAGTTTTTGTTAACGGAAAAACTTTACTCGTTTCTACTGCGCAGACGTCCATTTAATCTTCCTCATCGTAACACATTTTTAAAGTAAATGATAAATGTTATACTTTAGCACTATTTTACTGTACCAAACTATAAATATTTCAATGGTTCTTTAGTTACTTACCATTGGTTTTATTTATTATCTGTGCAACCCCTATGACGTCTCCCTCGTAGTTGCAAATGGGCATGGACAGCATAAGATTAGTCTTGTACCCCGTTCGCACGTCGACTGCATCGTTGAACCTTGGGTCATTGTAGGCGTCCTTTAGGTTGATGATTTCCTTCGTCTGGGCCACTGAACCGGCAATTCCGACCCCGAAAGGAATTCGGATCTCTTCGGCACGAGCCTTCCGGAGGGCATCTTCTAACACTGAAACAAGAACAAATTTATGGTTAACCTACTATAATATATTTTACTTAAAATTGAAATAAATAGACAAAGTTTGAGATATCTTATTGGTGCACGTATGGATTAACATATAAGTTTATTTACAGTTTTAGTTAAATAAACTCTTGCATTATATTGATCTGTCATTAAAGATTTGTTTAGATTATGTTCTCACTGTAGCTTATAGAATTACTTACTTTATTCTGATTGTTACATACAAATTAATTAAAAAAATATATATTGATCTGTTATTCATTTATTCGTAATATTCATTACTTATTATCTTATTCTATTTATCTGTTAATCACACTATCAATAGTGATGTTATCGATGCAAAGAATATATCTAGTAAAATACCAATTTACATATAAACGTTAAGAAGCACCTTATAATATTAGTTCTGAGTTTGTCGGTTTTTGAGAACCAATTTTAAAAATCGCGCTTTAAGAGAAAATTGTGGAACATATTCAAATATACCAGATTGATGAAAATACTGATACAAATCAATAAACATCTTTTATTTAGCTATTAAAAAATATTTAAATATTTACATGTAAAAATTAAGAATAAACGAAGGATAATCAATTGTTTTCAAAGTTATTTAAACTGGTCAATTATTTTTTGTTTTACTATAAATTGCATAAAAAAATATCTTCAGAATAGAAAAGTCATTTGAGTAAAAACAGCTTTTAATCCCTCGATTTTTCTTGTATTTATATAACTATTCTAGTTAACAGCTTTTTTATGAAAATTCGAAACCGGTTAAAACAGTTTAGATGGAGTAAATGGTATTCGAAAACCTATTTCCTAAGATGTAGATTTTTGTATAAACCCTTTTCTGCGCATATAAATTATGAAAAGTCAATTACAATTTATAACTACCATTTGAACTTTCTGTAACAATATTAGAAGAAAGATTTAATGATCAATGTGAATACTTCAACTTTCAATTAACTTTACATATACCTTTAAGAAAAAATAATCACATATAAGGTTTTTTGCATTTTTTTTTCTTTTCCTGTATTCATTGACTAACAATATTCTTTGCACTATTAGTTAAAAAATATAAACCATTAATAAACTATTACTAAAGTACTAATTGTACAAAATTATTCTTTATTTATAATTTTGTATATATATAATAATAATAATACATATATGTATTATTATAATAAATAGATTTGAGAAAAAATAAGAGTATTATGATTTTTTAATGGTAGTGTAATTTTCTATCAAAGATATTAAAATATGGTAAATCTCTAATATTATATAAATTCATGTATGTTTACATATTCAAATGTGAATATATTTGCATGTGTGTGTTTGCTTTACTTGTGGATTAAGAGGGCTATAAATATTTCGCATGTTCAGAACTGTATTAAAAACTTTAATGCATAGTCAAACTTTTTCCGAAATCATTTCATAAAAAACCTATAACACGTATACGAGAAAAGTTTGTGATGTCTATAAAGTTTAAAGCCTCTTAAAATAAAATTTGAAACTCATAAAAAAGCATGTTTTTCATTTTGTCAGGATTAACTCAACTATATTCCCAAAGCTAACTATGCTCATACATAATGCATATTAATATTAGATGAAAATTAATTAATATGTAAATCGAATATAAAGTTTTTGAAGTAATTTCCTTCAGGCCTGTCTAAATATCTGAATTCCATCAAAAATTTACGATCCAAAGTAAAAGCAGAGTTTGTCGTAGTAAGTGAACGAATTTCGCACTTTGGAAAATTGATAAAGTTCCACCTCACTCACTTAGCAGCACCCAGTTCATACCGGCATTGTAAAGTACATTATGAAATATTGGGTAAGGAGATATTTGAAATGACTCCTATATTTCATATTTAATTGAAGGATTTTGTCCCCTCTTTAATTAGTTTCTTGATTGATTCTAACAGAGACATTTGTCTTAATAACTGATCCTGGAGATTATTTTTTATTTCATAAAAAATCTTAACGTTGTAATTAAAATAATGTTTTTTTACTGTATACAATATAAAAATCCAACAAATTGTAATAAGTGAAATTCAACACCAAAATTTTGTTCCTTTTCCTCTACTAATATTATAATCGTATCTTACCCAGCATTAAACATTCACATAGGAGCGTGTTGAAATAACAAATCTAGCAATTGCAAAACTCATTTAAATATGCTAGATTAAGTTTCTTAATTAAAAATAACACGAACATCGGAACTTTGTTGCTATAGAGATTAAGTTCTAAATTCATTAAGCAGTTGAGAACTTGAACAGCGCAATCTTTCTCACCTACACAAGCCATTTCTACGTCGCATAATAAACACTTATAAAACTTTTTTAAGTGAAACTTCTTTAGGCGCGACTAGGGTGTAAATCCGTACAAATGCAACGGAAGTGCGTTACGGCTCTCCATGAAATCATTTCTTTACGGGTCGATTGTGATTAGACTTCGCGTATGTGAATAGAGAACTGTCGTTGTATGCGTATCGGCATCAACGTTATATGCGTTTTAAAGTTACATCGTAGTATAAATTTTGATTTATTGAAAAATGCCTGAATCAGAAGAATATTTTACCCTGTTCCTTGAAAATAATAAAACATATATTTCGTGAACTAAACGTAAGTTTATTGATTAAAAATTATTTCTATATTATTCGTAGTTTTAAAAATCTTTGAAGTTATCATAATGGAAAACATTTTCTAGACAAGGCGGATATTACAGTTGTTTAAAGAATAAGATTATATTGCCGACGAAAAAGTAAAAAAATATAAATTCGATGAATGTATGTTAATTTTAATTACATAAAGCTCTTCAAACACAATTACATGATGAGTGAAGTTGCGAAAACAATACTTGTTTAGGCGTTGTTTAACATAATCCACTGTGTGAACGAATACTATAGAAAATATTAACCCGAAATTTCTTCATCTTTTTAATGAACGTTCGTTTCTAAATGCTAATTACAATGACAAACCGATCATGTCATATTTGAAGTATGACTTCAATTACATTATTGTTTTTAAATATTATACATATTTTTAATGCTATTATGAATATATAATTTATAATTTATCATTATACAAATGTGTATAATGGTTGACACTAAATGTGTGCATCACGAGTGTTACCATATTACTAATAAACATTATTCAAAATTGTTATATGATGTATTTATTTTTACTTAAATGCTATCTTGTGTTAAATGCAAATAAGTTTTACTTCAATCGCGTGTGAACCTTACGCGCACTCTTTTTTCATAATATTTTTTTCTTATATGATGATTTTTTAATTTTTGTTATTAGAAGGATAAGTCTTAATCTTAATTTTAATCCTATGTATTATTCTAACATAAAAATTGTATTATGTTTCAACAACTTTAGAGTACTATATCTCTGCTATACTTTTTTATTAGATCTTTATGAATAAATTATAATAGTAAAATCTAATCCGATCCGATATCAAATTAGCAGCAATTTATAAGTTCCGCAGTTTCAATTATATTTAAGCTCGTTTGTCATCTCCAGAGTATCTGGTATATATATATTACTTTGGAACTATCAAATGTGTGTCCTATTTGCTATATCCTGTAATCAGAGAAGTTTGGTATATCAAGTTAATCATAGTTATCGTTAGTGACTTGAAGGATACATGGAACAACTTGGTTATATTGATATTTGATGAATGAGGGCAAGAACTTTCAAGAAAAACGTAATGATATAAGTTTACAAGAATTGTTATTAGCTATATGCCAATATATATCATAAATATTATTACAAGGATATTTACTCAAGGTACAGTTAATAACACTAAGTAATGGCGAAGAGAATATCGTTAATAATTTTTAATCAAACTGTTTTAACGTATGATAGAATAAATGTGTTAATTAAAAATATTTATTGATAACGTTTCTTTGTAAACGCAAAAATCTAACCAAAGCAAATTCGGGTTTTCTATTTAATTAATTGATTGAAAACTGAGATCTTAGATGAATTTCTGTACTCTCAAAATAAATTTTCAAAACAATTTTCATCTAACAAATTTTCAAAATTTTATAATTAAAAATATAAAACTTTAAATCATTTATACTTTTATATCTGCGTTCTAGGTATAAATATTAATATATTAATAATTAATAAATTTTATTTTTACAAGCTTTCAAGTAAAATTTTTGTACTCTACGTATTACAATTTGTAATTCACTACAAACTCTAAGCTACAACTTTGAAAGTATTAAAAGATTTTAGTTGTATAATATAAATAAATAATGAGTACTGTTTTATACATGAAAATATTCTGGAATAGTACGAATTTAAAGTTTTAAAACTTTCTCGTGTTCTGTGTGATTATCATGTGAATTATGAAGAAGAACTCAAATTCTCAAATAAATTTTATGTGCCCCAGAATTTACAATTTGCAATTCACTAATAATTCAAAGCTACAATAATGAATATATAACGAGTACTTAGTAACATTACTATTTAGTAATAAGTGCAAGTTATAGAAAATCTGTATAATTATGTCAATAATAGAAAACTGTTGTACTTAAATTGTGCAAAACACATTGTTTAGATTATAAAGTTTGACCATATTTATAAAAAACGAACCTTTATGTATTTTTTTATATTTTACATTTATTATCGTTCACAGTTGTATTATTATTATATAAACATCGATCAATTACACAAAATAGCTTTAGTAATATATATTTTAAGAGTCAATTGGATTTTATTGCATATGAATACGCGTATTGCAATCAGTCCAATTCATACATATTAATTCGATTTATTTTGTTTCAATAAATTCAGCTGATATTAAGCAAAATATATGGCATTGTCCAACAGAATTTCAAATACATTTCATTATTGACTCGATTCAGGGAAATTGGTTGCTATGTAAATGGAAATGCACAATATGTTATTTCACTGACGGAATAAATGCGTAGGCAATCAAATTACCTGCAAGGCAAAAAAATGAAATTGAAAGAGTTC